CAAACGATGGGATAATTAATATAAGGAATAACCACCATACTGGAAGAAAATATATAATCAATACCAAATAAAGGAAAAAGTATTGATTAAAACTGGGAGGAAATGTAAAAAACCTATTAAAGAATGTTTAGGAAATAAACTTAAGTGCAGTAAGAATAGGAAAACAGCAATGATGATGACCAAAGCGATATTGAACCTCATGGATGAAAACAGAGAAGTCAAAAATAAAGAGCAAATGCACAAAAACAAAAAAACACATAACTGAAACAATTTTCTCAAAACCTAGAATTGTTCAAAGATAAAAAGAATACTCAACAAAGATTCATCAGTAATAAAAGTTCTTTTTCTTCATCTTTATAAGCAATTCTGCTGGTTCATTGGTAGATTGATACCCTATGGAAGGTTGTGCGGTCGTCCAATACTTCTTCTTCCAATTGGTGGTGATTTATCTTTTCCTATTTTAACTACGCCCCCCGTGAGGGTACGGGCCACTAAAGAAGAATATCTTCACAGTTTATCCTGCTTTTAAAGGCGACTGAATGGAGCAACACTCCTGCTCTTCTAAACTCTAATTCCTATTCCCAAACCCCTGATGGAACCCTACAAATGTCCCTCACGACATACCTATACGACAAGAGAATAATCTCAGCTATGCAGAAGATAGAATACTCCTTGCAGACAGCCGAGAAAAGCTGCAAATTTGGGTTGATCGCACTACTGCGAGAGGTATTCGAATAGCTCTGAACACAAAAAAAAACAAAAATCATTATTGTCAGTTAAAACAAGATTGAAGACGAAACAATCTAGGTTAAAGAAAAAGTTTTTGAGAAAGTGTTCCCAGATACAATTATTTAGAATATGAGCTACGTGAACAACGGAATCGTAGCCTTGAAATTAAACGACGTATTGAGATCGCCAAAAACGTTTCCAATAAAATGAAAGCAACATTCAATGGAAAACTGCGAATAGAAATTATAACTAGAGTATTATATTATATCTATTCTCTGGTGTTTTATACGGAGTTGAAGCCTGGACAATGACTGACGCAACTGAAAAAATAATCATGTTCCATTTCTTCAAAAAATATTCCCAGTGATGATTTTTTATTCTTTTTACAAATACATGTGTTTTGTTTATTTTTTTCTCAATTAATAAAAGTTATTTGGATAAATGTGTACATATCATAATGGAAAGATAATTTTGCATATGTTCATAAACGGAGATATCAAAAGGAAACGTCGTGTCAGAAGAGGAAAATTATGACTAATGATAAACGAACGATACATAAACTTAATTTAAGATGAATTACCACTGAGTTAAATATCTATTTGGAAAACAAAAAATTAAATAGACAGTTAAAAAAACTCTGCTTTTTGGCATTATTAACGAAAGTACAAGCTGAATATAGCCTCAAATGTCAACCATGGAACAAAATATTTCGATTTGTACACAATTTGTCAACAAAAGAACTAGTAAATATTTGTTTGTTTTGAGATTCCTCCTCCTCAGTGCTAATCCCTTTTGGGATGTGGTGACACCATATCAGACCTTTACAGTTTTTTCACGATTTCCCTCCATCCTTCTCTGTCCTGGGCTAGTTGTTCGGCGTCATGTAACCCTTGGTTAATCAATATTTTTGTTTGATCTACCCAACGGCTTGGAGATCTTCCCCTAGGACTCTTTCCTTCAACTCTACCCTCGACTATAAGTTTTGAGATTACAATGCAGTTAATTATTAGACATTTTTTGGCAATTGCTCTTTGATAGATTAGCGGATAGATTTGTCAATCCTTAAATCACTAGTTGCCAGATTACAACAGATGTTTACAATTATTGTACAATATTTGGGACAATACAAAAACTAAGACAAATATTTACTCGTTATTGTTTTATATAAATTAAAAATAGGAGAATTCATAAAATAGTATAATCAAAATGTACTTTTTAAAAGCTTTCTCTTTTTATATTTGAAGCATACAATGTAAATACATTATAAAAACATACCAACACTGCTAAATCGAAATATTTTGTTCCATAGTACGGCTATATTTAGCTTGAACTTTCGGTAATGTTAACCAGATTTTATACTGAAGAATGAAAAATGCAGAATAGACTAGAGTACTTATATCTCACAAGACCCGGTGACAATAATGATAGAGGAAGATATTATAACTAAAGTACTAAAGCTGAAATATGGAGGCATAAGGATTATATCCTTTATATGAGTGTTTAAATAGAACCAGAAGAGAAATTTTTAAATGAGTGGAATATATTATGCATATGCCCCTTTTCCAAAAAAAGATGATAAAAGGTCAACAGATAACTATAAAGGTATCAGTATAATGCATTCAACAGCAAGAATCTTTTCCACAGTTATAAAAGAAAACATAGAAGAACACATGAACCATTATGGTGAAGAACAAACCATATTCCAAAAGCCAGATCATGTCTATATAATATATTCATCAAAAGACAAGTGAAAAATATTAAAACAAAAGAACAAAGAGAAAAATATTGAAACACATATGACCTTTATCGATTTAAAGAAAGCATACGATAGCGTGCCCAGGAATCAACTGTGGGAAGAAGCAAATAATTTAACACAAAGACTGGGATCAAGTCAGCCTCTCTTCATGTTTTACTAATCTATTCTATTTGATCAGCCCTCGTAGAACAATTTTTCAGAATTTAGATGTGTTGACCCCTTTCAAATTGAACCAATTAGTTCCTGTTGACATGCTGTCTTATTAAAAGTCCTGTCATCTCTGGAATTTATTTTTTTCGTGGAATCATATTTCTCGTATTTCTTTACCTGTATTTCCCTCGCCATTTTATTAATTGTTTTTATTTCATTTTGCATTTTTATATCAAACTTAGATAAATTAGCTACAAATTTTCATTTCAATTGATACCCGTTGCTCCATAAAGTCTCTCACTTTTGTAACTTGTTTAAAGAATTCATTTCTGTGTCAATATTTTAGTATTGTATGCATGATTTTCCTTTTCATTGATCTTTAGTCCAGCACATTTCCAATATATAAGTATTCGGTCTTGCACATATTTATCTAGAGCCCCCATAGCTCCATATTCTTTCTTTAATTTCCTTATCATGTATTTCATATCTTCCCAGTCTTGTATAAAGATAATTTGATCGTTTGCGAAAAGTAGTGAATGTAAAATATTCTCTTATACTTCTATGCCCATTGTTCTGCATTTTCTATACCATCTTCTCAAAGCATGATCTATATGTTAAAAAATGTTGATGATAGACTACATTCCTGTTCGTGGTCTTTTGTTGCAGTGATTGTTTTTGTTATTTGATTGCCTAGCTTTATTTTTATCTCTATTTTCTTTATACAGTCTTTGTGTTATATTCACTCATTTCTCTCTAACGCGCCTTCTCATTGCTTCCGATAGTAGTTTTCATTGCAGGCTATCGTATGCTTTTTACAAGTCAATAAAGGTCATAGGTGTTTCAGGTCAATATATTTCTGTTTGTTCTTTTGTATCACTGTCACCTTTTTTGAAAATGGAGGACATGTACTTATGATATATTCCACTCATCTGAAATCTTCTCCTGCTCTGAAACTATTAAACAATACTCATGGTTCCCTGGTCCTAGCGCTTTGTTGATTTTGGCCTTCTTTACGGGTTTATTTATATCTATCTTCCTCTATGATTTCGACTTCCTCAGTTATTATTGTCACAGGGTCTTGTGCGATATACTCCGGTCTATTCTCCTTTAATGTCCATTCCGCAGTTTTCGTTCTTCTCGAGCCTTATTCTTTGCTTTACTTGTTCTCCAAAAGTAACATATTCTTCTCGTATTCCTGAGGTTCTGTCATTTAGTCATTTATGAAACGTATTATTTTTAGTTTTAAACGTATTAAAAATAGTTTATGAAAGTATAAATAATATAGATTTGCCTATATATTCATAGAGATGAAAATATATCAATATTAGCGAAAACAAACACAAAGGATACTAGTTATTTTGCCACTTATACCTATTAATTAAGCAATTATAGTCATACAATAACTGTAAACTTTATTTTGACTTTAAATCTTACAAAATGATAAGATTAAAATTAAATAAAGTCCAACGGAGCAAGGTCTGTAAAGCCGACCACTCACGATACTGCGACGTCGTTCAATTTTATCGAATTCGACTAATTGACAAACATTTTGATCGTCTGTGATCGTGCATCCAACAAAATCGTTACAATTTTACCAAAAAGAAACTGGTTTCTATGATGTAGTACTGCAAAATTGATATCGACGATTTTGTTGAACGACACCGCAGTATCGTGAGTGGCCGGCTTTAGCCTCTGTTTTTTCACTGTCATTCTCCTTTAAAACCGCATCGCACAAAGAAAGAATGAAAAATGTACTTTAGAAACATAGGTACTGAAGAAATGAAGAGGAAACACTAACAAGCCAGGTAACTTCAAAACGTTAAGAGAAAGCAATACTAATAGCACCATCACAGGTCTTATCTGTTCACAATTGGAACAACTATCTCATATTTACAAACAAAAACACCATAAAACAATGTATTTAAAGTAAAGTGAAGTTAAAACTAACTTGAAACTAATTTGATCGTTTTGTGTAAATGGTAGAAGATATTGTTGTCGTGTCGTACCTATGATATACCTAAATCCACGTTTATTGATATAAACATCTTTTAAACAAAAATTCAACAAAGACTACTTATATGATTGTGGTAATTAGTAAAACTGAAAAGAAACAAATCTGTGCCTTAGAACTTATATATTATTATACTGAAGAAATGAAGAACGATAATTAACAAGACTGTAATGACAGAAAGAGATAACATACCTATTGAAGAAATAAAAAGTGCTCAACAAATCTAAAAAAAGCCGTGACTGACAAGCTACCAAGGGAATAAAGGCAACAAAATAATCGTATGGCCCTCGTATAGTAAAACGATTTATTGTACATTGAAATGTTTATAAGAGTTTTTAAAGCAACTGTACATACCTCCTGAAGAATGCAGTCTTGCCGAATTACTGTAACTAATTGCCTGTTCTCTACTGGTCATCAAACTGTCCACACTAAAGGCCGCCGCACTGTCCATAGCCTGCAGACTTGCCGTAACATCACTCATTACATGTTCCTGATGAACTATCACCGATTTAGGATCGCCATATTTCGCACTCATACAGTGGCTCAGTTCGGTGTTGGGTTCTCTTTTCGGCTTGCATTCTAACTTGCTTTTGATATCTTCTAAAGGCTTTTCCTCGCGTTTGTTTATAGGAGAATCGGACTGGATTTGTTGTCTTTTCAGCTGTTCTTCTTTTTCTCGAAGAGCGTCTTTTTTCTTGAAGCGCCTACGTCTTCTAAGGTACGAACCGTTGTCGAACATATTGTAGGAATCGGGATCTAGGGTCCAGTAACTACCTTTGCCCGGTTTTTTATCGTCTCTAGGAACCTTCACAAAGCATTCGTTTAGACTTAAGTTATGCCTAATGGAATTTTGCCAGCCCTGTTTGTTTTCTCTGTAGTAAGGAAATCGTTCCATGATGAATTGGTAGATGCCGTTTAGAGTTATCTTTTTATCTTGTGCGTTCTGTATAGCCATCGCGATCAGAGCTATGTAGCTATAAGGAGGTTTTACCATGTCCTTGGCAGTGCTTAAGGGGTGTTGCTGATGGTGCCATGGCGAAGGATACCCGTACCGGGAGTACTGCTCGTATGCGTACGGATTCGATGCGGTTATAGCTGCCGAAGCCGAACTACTGTAGCTGCTGTAGCGGTTGTAAGCCGTCGGATGCTCAGAAAATATAGTATGCATTATGTTTTTCACTAGTTGTTTGTATAAACACAACCCGCAGCGAAAGAAAATAAACAAAACTTGGGCAAGTTGTAATCGAAAAGTGTCAGGAGTTTTCTAAAAGGAAAACACCAACTGTTATTTCAACAGTACGTTACGTTTTGTGTTTTCATTCCAATCAATCTTCCAAAAACAAGTCGGAGCTCACTTAATATTATGATACACAACATAGGGTGGTTTACACAGAGATTAAGTAAAAACAGTGTATGTTGCTTCTTGCCGAGACACAATGTTACTAGTGAAAACAGTCCTCTCGCTAGGGCAGGGGAACCAAGCAATTAAAGCGGTTATATGCGCGATTCAGTCAACTCTCGCCACTCCCTCGCTTCGCCCCACCAATCTCCTTCATCGTACCGCGATGCTCCACCCTCTTTTACTAATGCACCATGACAGCGACTCGACGCCTAGTCACCGCCCAGCGCTTATTTTTTTGCTAGGCAAAAAGATCGCTCTGCAAGTGGAAATATTATATCAATAAACCCCTCGTAGAAATTATTCTAAGGCTTTTACTTTATTTTTACCAACACAAAAGTTTTGTGTACGTTACGAGAAGGGACACGGTCGAAAGACAATGGAGAGCTGGCTGGCAGCTTAATGAAGATTGGGAGGTTGGGCAGTTCAGTTCGTGTTAGCTGACGGCAACGCGGGAAAAAGTGTTTTTCATGAACAAACTGTTGGTTTTTATCTGTCGGATTAAACGTGGTGACCTGTCATACCAAGGTAAGATTTTAAAACTAACCCTGCTCTAAAGTAGAAGAAGATTATTTAAACAATAAAATGTGCTTTAAAAGTATCTTTTAACTTTAAGATTAATAATTAAATTAACAATTGTTTAACAATAGTAAATCTAGATATTTCTATAGAACGATTTCCGAAGTGGAAATTGTTACGTCAATAAACGTACTTAACTTTAAAATTGTGGCTTATTCCCATTTAAATAGTAATTACTCTAAAATGCCACCTCAGAACAATATTAAGAAACCGTTATGGGCCCGCGTTATTCAAAATTTTCAGAGATTGGAAATTCTTTACAAGAAACTGGCACTCTGTCAAAATTCAATAAAATTTTTACGAAGATGTAGAGGCAATAACCTAATACCAAAGGGCTTGAAGTAATTCCAGCATATTCAAACAGAAGGTTGGAAAACATATTACATAGAGCCAGTTTGTCCATGATTCGCGAAAGGTTACAATTTCATAGATCTAATTTATTTTTTGTTGAACAAGATTTTGTAAGTATTGAAGATTTACTTTTCAATGTGATATCAAATTCTGATTTTTTGAAGAAAATATAAAAATCAAATATTATACACTATAACAATACCTTTTTCCCAATATTTTTTATTTATATCTAAATCATAATCTATTATTCAGATAAACCGCCTAAAATAACACTAAATTGAGTGGTCTTCTTGATAATTAGCTCGATCTGTTTTATAGAAATTTCATCTATTGGTTTTCATTTAATCTTTGCTTGTGGATTCTTGTCTTTACCTTTAGATGATTCCAGTGTTGTTGAAGCACATCTTTATGCAGCATGTCTCCTAAGATCATAGTCTATCTGATCTCTTTTTGTCTCTCTGCTTTTCAATTGTATACCTATGGCTACCAATATCTTAGATGTTGGGTATTTACTCCAAATCCAAACTTTACTCCAAAGTTGTTTACCTTTTAACGTATCTCACACTTGCCGTTTTTCACATTCATTCATTTTTTATGTTTATGTTGCAGTGGTGTGCTGTGACGACTGACGAAAGGGATGTATCAACCTAATTAAATTTCTCTATAAATTTTATATCTTGTAGCATATCAACATTAATCACCTTAACTACAAGAAAACTATAAGAATGCTCTTCCATTTTGCATCAATTTCATTTCTTTCAGATTTATTTTGGACTCTTTCTTACAACACCCCCCCCCCCCCATTTCCTTTGATTTCGTCTAGTCCGCCCTAATTATATGTGTAGATCTCCATCTACTTCCCTGTTATTTTATAATACCAATCCCAGAGCTTCTACAGTTATCATATGACAGCAGAAATTTTATATATAATTTTAATTATATTGAAGAAGAAACAGGCTTTAAAGGATATATACTAGAATGAAGAAGAAGATGAAGAAATTTTATAACTAAGATCTATATCTATAGACCTTCTATAACTAGCAGATATGAATAATGACCAAAGTTTGCTGAATATAACAAGAGACAAATTGTGAAAAATATTGTACGAATTAGACGTCGTTTGAGGAGAAGCACGATAGGAAATCTGTGCCTATACAGAAAGAAGAACAATTTATTCGAGGAGACGATATTGTAAGAGCAACTCGAGAACTAAGAAGAGAGACAGTTTACCTGATATACATGTCAACCAAGACACAAGAGACAAACTATAATTACAAGACAATGAGAAACAAAACACATGCTTTTTTAAGAGGAATTAAAAATTATCCCTGGGAACAATTCTCAAAAGATATGTAACATGAGTTTTATGGTCTGCAAAAATAAAGATGGCGCTTTACAAGAGGTCAAAGAACGGACGTAAAGAAACCAATAGACACAAAACACATAAGATACATGGATACATGGACATGGATAACAGAAAAGGATACATGGATTCACTGTCACTATCTATGCAGAGGAAGAACAAATGAAGCTAAAGATCAGAAATTACCACAAATGAAGAAGTTAATATAAATATACAGAAAGTTCAAAAAAATACTCAAAAGCTGAAGAATATAAAAGCTGCAGGTAAAGACAGAATACCAAACGATTCACTGAAATATTGTGGAGCAGCAATGACAGAACAATTCTTGTTCTTCTAGTGCCGATATCACTTGCTTGGCTGCAACCATTGCAAATATATTTGCACATAATGCAGGATATTTGTCCCCTTTCAGGATTCCTTTTCCTTCGATTATACTCTTTATAATCAGCTACAACAACTCGTAGTCTCGTTTTTAAGTATGTGCCCCAAATATGCAGTCGTTTTCTTTTAATAGTGGTCAAAAGTTCGCTATCTCTTCCTATACAATATCAGATTTGCAGATTGAGACTTTGGTTACTTATTCTTGATCGAATTTCTGATTTCAGATTTAGATCTTCAGTAATTACACTCCAAAGTACTTTATTTTGTCCACTTGTTTAATATCTTCATTTTTTATCTAGATCCTTCTTATTTATCTTTCATATTTAATATCCCCCTTACTGATAACCAAGGTTTTGTTTTCTTTGTTATTTATGTTTATGTTTATTGTTAAACCAAACTGTTCTTTAGTATCACAAATTTTGTTTGATAGCGTCTGCAAGTCTTTCAGCGATAATGACTGTGTCGTCAGCATAACGATTGTTATTTATATGTTTACCATTGATCTTTATCTCTTCTGTACAGTTTGTACTGCTTGTATAAATAACTCTTCGGAGATAGAGATTTCTCACTAGGTTAATATCATTTTTGTTGAGTCCTCTTTGCTTTAGACATTCCATGAGAATGTTATGTTTAAGTGCGACGAAAAGATCGTTTTGTTGGTCTCGACATTTTTGAGCAAGAGTTATGAGATGTAAAACTATCAGAGCTTCTACTATTCCGGACCATTATGAAAGCCAAACTATCTATTACTCATATCAGCTTTACTCTTTCTGAATATTCTTGCATAACTTTAAAAATGTTTTCTTGGTTTGTGGTAGCGGAACAAAAGTCGATAGTAGCCATTCTGTAGGTATCTCACCAGGTTTGTATATGTTTAATTATAGCTCGATGTTAACTTTGTCTGGTCGAGGGGCTCTGCCAGATGTTGAATTGGTTATAGAATGTTGTACTTCTTACCTATGTCTTTTAATATTATTGGAGCTTCCTCGTTATCAATTTGTGATGGTTCCGTTCTTGTGTCCATGACAAGATCTTCAATATATTTAGTTCATACTTGTTATTTCAATTGAATTATTAATAGGTTTATTGATTTTGTCAATAGACCGGTTAGGTGTATTTGTTCGTAATTTTCCAGATAATTATTTTCCAATGATCATGTTTTTTTCTGCAATTCCTCTATTTCAATGCATGTTTCCATCATCCACTTTTCCTTAGCCTTTTTTATTATGTTTCTTACTAATGTGTGTTTTTCTCTCTATTTAGGTATGTGGGTTTATGTTTCTATATTTTCTTCTTTGTTCCATGATTTTCCTTTTTAACAGGCTCCGCATAATGCCTTTCTAATGTTATTTTTTTCATTTTTTGATTTATACAAATTTTTGATTTATATAGTTGAAGCCTATGCACGCATTTCGTGTATCTCCTTAGAATTTTTGGACTTTATTATCTTTTTTGTCCTCATTTTCATTTTTGAGACAAAGAGATTATGGTCTGATGGCAAATCTGCTTCAGGGTAAGTTTCTCGCTTATAATGGAATTTGTAAGTCTTAGATTAGTCAAAAATGTTAGATCTTAGATCTTGACAAAATTGAGCCAGTCTGTCATACCGCATTTGTTGTTCCTAAATCATAATCACCTATTAGATTGTCCATTCAGCCTTGTCCTATCTTTGCATTTAAATCGGTTATTATTATTGTAATTTCTTCCTTCCTGTTTGAGTTGTTCATAAAAATATTCAATAACAAAATTTACAACGGCTGTTTGGATTTTCCTTGAGATAATTATTCCAACTCCGTATAGGTGATCTCGGGTGTCATTTCCGGAGTAATATATTGTTTTATCCATGGCCAATGTTTTACCGGAACCAGTTGAGCGCATTTCGCTTATGCCTTATATTTCTATGTTCAGTCTGTACATTTCTTGAATCGTGTTGTGCTTCTTTCCTTGTTTGAACCAGCTCCTCATATTCCATGTCCTGAAATTAAAAAAGGATTCCTTCTCTATGTAGTTATTTGCCACATTCGGGTGGCTCATCTTGGGGATTTCTAACATTGACTTTATTTTGCATGGTTATTGCTCTAGGGAAATCTGACGA